TAGGACGTGCGTAATATGTCCAAGTACTCTCGGCATTCCACTGGCATGTCCAAAGTAAGGGCAGGTTGCCCTGCGAAGCTCTGAGCAGGTTGCCCCGCTGGACTCTGAGCAGGTTGCCCCGCTGGGCGCTGAGCAGGTTGCCCCGCTGGACGCTGGACTGCCGCTGATGCGGCAGGTGCCGGAGCGTTAGCCGCCCATGCGGCAGCGCCAACGGTTCCCCTAGGCGCCCGAGGAGACCCTGGCGGGGTGCCGATGTCGAAGTCCTGACGTTTCTTCTCCTTGATGTCGTAGGACTCGGCTGTCCTATCTTCGGGGGCCAGTCCCGGTGCCTTCGATGAGGTTGCCAGTAACCTTTCGGTGCCGCGCCTTGTTGAAGAAGCGTCCCCTGTTGATCCTTCCAGTGACGGCGCCCAGCCAGTCCTGCGCGCCCGACCTGGTGCAGGGCCGCGACGTGGCACAGGGCCCTTTGGATTGGGAGTACTGGTGCCTGGAAATGCAGCTGCAGCAGCAGTCACTGCTGGTCCTTTGGATCGACGTCGGTCAGCAGGTTGCCCCGCAGATCGCTGATGCTTACTGTCTCCAGGGTTTGCAGCAGCTGGGCTCTTCCTCCTTTTCTTGGGTCTGAGCTGATCAGGACGAAGCAACGGACGCGATAAATCCGAATGCGTCTCGGGCTTCGGCTTGGAAGCTGCCTTAGCCGCGGCCCCCGCCGGCACCCATGGCCCATATCGCACGGAGCCCCGGTCAGGGTTCAAAGGGCTACCACATGGCGTTACGAGGGCCAGGTTCTCGATCGTGGTCTTGTGTTCCCCGGCCAGGAGGCATTCGGTAGAACAGGGCCTTGTTTTTCTATGCTGGTCAGCCTATACCTTCAGCACGGTAAGCAATCCACCTTCCAAGGGAGACAGATCAATCGCCTCAGCAACGACACACCTAGGATCAATACGAGTGCCCGTCTTGCACGCGACGTCCGCAGCAATGTAGTCGTCCGACGGGTACTCTGCAGGGGCCGCGTCCGCGGGGTCTACTTCTTCGGCCATCGCGCCAGCCTCATCTCCATCAGATACTTGTTGATCGTCCTCTTCTGATTTGGGATCAGCAGATTTCCCCGCGTGCCAATCGCGATTGAACTGCGCCAAATGATGCAGAGGTGACAAGTTCTTCCACGGGAGTTTTGATCGGGCGATTACATCACCTGTGGCGTCGTCGTAGTCGCTCTCCGTCAACTCCTCCTCATATGGCCGCGTATTAAGATCGGCGCAGTGACCCCGACCATCACCATGAGACCAGACCCACGGTGTTCTCTTGAAGTTAGAGCTTCTCGGCGGGCGCCTCATGGGGCAACCAATCCTGCGGTCGGCAGATTCGGGGCATGAGCGACAGACGTTTCTGTCGTGCCTCCGCTCCTCGATGCACTCTTGAGGTTGCGCGTGGCCATCTTATCTTGTGATTTGACAGGTCCTGCCCTGATCTTGCCCTCTTCATGCCGTTGAACATCGCGAGGAGAATGCCAGCGGCGGATCTGATGCTGAGTCCAGACCTGATCCCGCCAATATTGTATTTTATCTGGGGATCTGTACTGACGAGCCAATCCAGCTTCCGCGCAACCAACGGGGCGCTGAATTCTGCCCTCTGGATATTCTTCTCGCGGTGAATCTTCTTGAGGCGGGTGCCCCCACAAGCGCTCCCTCCTCGGGGGAGTGGCAGGTCTATTAGCATGCCATGGCGAGGCCTTTGGAATTCCCGCACCAGGAGGATGAGGACGCTGAAGACCGCTGGAGCGAGCGCCACTGGAGCGGGCGCGCGCACGATCAGGTGAGCGACTGGGGGTCCGACCGCGACGTATCATGCGATCGCTATCATCCCATTCGTCGTCCTCGTCGTCGTCGCGATACTTCTTCCTCCAGACCTGGCGACTTGCCGATCGCTTCTGGCGGCTCATGGACCGACCTGAAGCAACGAACATATACTGCAACTCTTCATCATGGCCAAGCCCATCATGAATGCGGTCGGATAGATCACTAGCGTCTCGCGGGTTTCCCCGCGGAGGGTCATCACGACTCAATTCCATATCTGTCGGATTTCCAAGAATCCAAAGATAAAGCATCAACTGTATTTACTCGTCTGTCGCAGGAATGGTAACTTCTGAATCCGCGGGCGCCCCCGCCATGTCAGCATCTCCTTCGGCGGGCATGTGGAAGTTTTCGTCAGATTCGATATCAGCAGGTTGCGATGGGTCTGCCCAACTCATTCTGCCAAATCGACGTCGTTGTGGCCAGAGAACACCTCCTCGAACACCTCGCCGGCGTAATTCTCGACGGTCTGACTGGCGCTAAGATATCTGGCAACCATGAAGTTGACAACTGCAGCTGAGCTACCGGCATGGTCAGCTACGAGAGACTCCCAGCCAACATGCTGCATGTCGGAGTCGGTTTGAGCCGGATGCATTGACGGACCCCTGCCTCTTCCATCACCTTGAGGGCATTCGCGGCGGGAGTGCTGTGTGCTGTGGCATATGTCGCACTCCATAGACTTACCGTTGGCATCCCTTGGGTTTCCCTGGCGCCCTTTTGCCTTTTTCCTTGTGTGTGCCTGCGGTTTCGGCCTGCACCTAAAAAATTGCCTCGTGCTGTCGTCCACTGATAGATGCTAAGAATACGCATGTGCTACCGTGCAACCGCCGGCGCTTACCTTTACCTTTACTTCGACCTGTGCATTTTCCTTTGACTGCTCGCCGCACGATGCGCCGTACCTTTCGGACTGGTTCCTTCATGAAGCTCCGCCATCGACGCTTGTAGTTCTGGCATCCTAAAAAATAGCAGTTGCGCTTGTTGCTCTCCCGCAAGGTATGCGGGCATATCCGAGTAGTCAAGGGCTGTGGCTTCATCATGTCAAAACGTATCGGTCTCAGTACCAGGTCGAAGTCGGCCTCGGCGTGTTGCCCCGCTGAGCCAATTAGGGCCACGGCTTGCATGGGGGATACCGCGCCAGGCGATCCCCGAAGCCTGGCCCGGGATCCTTGCGACCCCGAGGCCGCCCTACCGTTCTGAGCCAGCAATGTAGTGGTCTCAGTTGATTGTGGTTCATCACTCCAGACGTTGTTGGCAGGCTGCCCTGCGTTAGCCTCCACGTGAAAGGTCTCGGATCGGCGACCGTGAATGAAGATGCCACCACTATTACCAGGGTCTCTCTCAGCAATGTGAGCATATGATTTCATACGTTCGAATAGAGCGTCAAATTGTTGTTGGTCTCTCGGCATGATGGTTTAGGAGCTGCAAGAGTTGTTGTGCACGCGATGTCCCCACGCCAAGAGCTCTGAATACAATCGCTGCTAAGATTTGGAAGTTGGGGATGTTGAGGCCAGCTGTTTCAGCCTCATAGCGGGCATCTCAAAACGTGCTAACGTCTGGTCGATGCGTTCCCGCATGGACTCGGAAGTCAATGAGAGCGGTACCAGAATTGAGTTGGCGCTCCTGTTCTAAATTCTCGAACTTCGTGCTTGAAGAGTAACATGATGTAGGTGACGCCGTCAGTATGACGGCCACCTATGTTGATACCAAAGTTGACAACTGCAGCAAGGGCTCTCATGGCTATGGTCCGTGCGAGACCTCCCAAACCTCGCTGCAGAGCTGCAGCCTGCTGGGAGGGCGTCATATTGCCTGTGGTCACGTTGATCCAGGCATGTACTTCGCGGACGAATTCGCGAATTCGCGAATTCCCAGTGAGGGCCGGTCGTTTTTGCGTCGTCTCAGCCACGCATATGTCCTACCGCACACCCAATAGCGGCCCAAGTGAGCCCAAAGATGATAACACCAATCCAATGGCCTCGTATGTCGTGGTCGGATGTAGTCGGTTGGGGCTTCCGCTGGGTAGTCGTAAGCCTGCGTGGGGTTGGAGGCGGCAAGATGTCGTATCGCATGTTTCCATGCATTATCTCTTCAAAGAAGTTTCCAATTCGAGTAGGTGGGTTGACTTCAGGAGTGTAGTAAAACACGCATGGGTATATGATCTAAGTAAGAGGCCTCCGCTTGAGCAGCGGTATCGCTGCAAATGTCCTTGCGATATTGCGTAGCTATATACATTCTTCCGCGCAAGCCCACTGCGCCCTGATTTTCCACCATGTCCGTAGTCCACCAACTGGTGCCGTGGATGGTGAAGAAAAGAACAAAAACTGACCACCGTAGGCCAGCTCCGCTACCAAGAATGAAATGGGGCTGGGAGGCCCAGCCAACAGCATCGGCTTAAGCGAAGCCAAGCTCCAGCTCGGCTGTACCGTAGTAGCGGTAGTCCCAGTAGGGGAGGATGCGTCATCTTAAACAATCGGAAATCCTTTTTGGCCTCGATAGCGATTGTGTGCCTCGCGATGAGGCGCACTCATATTTGGGCGGCCGCCGCTTGAGCCGACGCGGCCGCGGGCGCATGTTCGTTTCCGCTCCTTACGTCCCTCAGCTCGCTTTAAACTCCACGACCCACCCGCGACCCACCCCGCGCCCGCCCCCTCACTCTTACCCGCCCGTGCTGGGTGCTATATACATATACATATTTATGTGTATATTTGTGTGTTTGTTTGTGTCTATATGTACAGTATGGTGATGATGTGCCCGTCTCCCTCGCAGTGTCACACACACACACTCTCTCTCTCTCTTTCTTTTCTCCCGACTGTAGTTATATACAGATCTATGTATGTATCATTGCTTTGTTTTCCTCTTGACACCTGCCTCCTGGACCCCCGAAATGCGGCCTTAACTCCTACGCTTCACAATCGGGTTGCTGAAAGAAGGAACGCTAACTTAGGAACGAAGCCCCTTCTTGGCACTGTACGCGCCTCCGTGCCCCAGGAGGGCAAGAGGAACGGCACTGGAGGAACCTAAGGAACATCGAGCCCCTTCCGAACCCAAACTGTTCCTTATTTCAGCGTCTTGACTGTAGATCTACCTACTTCAACTGCAATGATGCATGCCCCTCGTCCTCCCGGCACGCTTTGTGGACCACGCGCCGTCCTTCTTCCAATTCCGGTACTCCTTGATCCGTAGCATGATGTCGTGTTCGTGCGCTCGGAGGCCCGGGTCATCCTTGAAAATCGGCAGCATCGCTCGGGCTTTCCTGGGCTGGCGGCGCGGGGCCCAATGGGAGAACAGGCAGGAGGGAGCATCGAGTCGTCGAGCATGATCGTGGGAAGCGAAGAGGGTGGGATCGTCGGGCATGCACATCTGATCGGCCACAGTGCTCGTTGGCGGTGCGTCCTCGTCTGGGTCATCTCCACCCTGGGGATGTCCCCGTCCTCGCCCTGCCTTTCTAGAGGCCTCGTGGATGGGATCGGAACAGATGGGGTCGGGGGATCGCGCGGTATCGCCGATGCATCGGCGATACATCGTCGATGCACCGACGATGCATCGTCGACGTGGGCGATGCATCGGCGACGTCAACGTGAAGGAAATCGAGCTTCACATCGAGCCGCATTGGCGATGCATCGCCGATGCGGCGCGATCCTCCGACCCCACGTGCTCCAACCCCATCTAAGAGGCCAAATTCGCGTCCCTCGCCGATGCCCCAAGGGGCCCACGTCCCCGAATGCTGGTTCTCCCTCTTGCGTTCCTGAACACTGCCCCGCCCCACTCTCAGGGGGCTGCCCCCGCGTGGCTCGTTACTCAAGGGGCCCTGGGACACACAAATAAACACACACAAATAAAAAGATCCCCCATATTTTCCCATATTTTCTCGCTTTTTGTCTTCCCCCTCACTTCCCATATTTTCCCATATTTTCCTGGGAATCGACGATTAATTGTGTCTGTATGTTTTTTCCCCTCCTGAGTTACAGAAGCAACAGAACACCCCCCTGGCGGGCCAGGAGGGCCCCAAGAGTGCGCCGGGCCGCCCGCGGATCGCTCCGAGGCGCCCAAGATATACAGTCAACCCGTATCACAAGGATGCGCAGTAGGGATGCAAGGGCCCTGGAGGCTGATGTTAACGTGATTCGAACAAGGCTGGCCAGCGAATGTCGCTGAGGATGGGCCGAAGGGGCAAGGATGCAAAGATACCCTTGGGATGGTTGACTCTACCAAGATTGCCCCCCAGACGTCCCAAAGGGCCCTGGAAGGGCCCCCCCCACCCAGAGGGGCCCCTGAAAACCACGGGCAAGTGCCACGGACTTCACCGTTGTCGCCTCTTCGGGCCCCCGACGTTCCAAGACGGCCCAAAAGACCCCCAAGACCGTTCCAAAACGGCGCAAGAGGTACCCAAGAGGCCCCCTAAGACTTAGTGGGCCCTGGAAACCACAAGGCCGTTTTTGTTACCGGTTCCGTTTTGCCGTGTCTTCTTACCAGTTCCGACGCCGTTGTTTTACCGGTTCCGTCGCCGTTTTTTTACCGGTTCCGGCTCCGGCTCCAATCCTGGAGCAATTTTTTGGCCGTTTCCAGTCGCCGTTTTTTTGCCGTTTCCATTTTCAAGGGACATTTTTTCGGAAACGGTGAAAAAACGGCCCTGCCGTTCCCGGGGCCCACGTGGCCCCAAGACGGCCCACGAGGCCCCCACCCGCGGCACAGGACGGGCCACAGAGGGGAACGCGTACTGCCATTCCGAGCCCTCCGCCCCAAGATGACCCCCGAGACTGGCACGCCCACGAGGGACACCAGGACATCCCCAAATGCCACAAAAGAGGCCCACAGGGATCAAACAAAATAGCAGAATGCATCCGATGGGCCCCATTAAAACATCCCAACGTAAATAGCAGAATGCATCCCAATGGGCCCACAGGAATCTCAGTAAATAGCAGAATGCATCCGATGGGCCCCCCTAAAAAATCCCAACATGCATTGACGAGGCCTCGGACCTACAACCCAGGCGCCGTGGCGGGATGGTCCGACGGTCACAAAATCCGCCGCAACGACTTCAGAGAGAGCCTCAGCTAATTGCTGGAACTGCAGGCTGTAATGAGCTGAGGCTGAGCTCAGGCCTGATTGCAAACTGAGCTCACGTTCTGACTACCTACCAGACCACCCCAACCCAACCCGAAGACCCAAATTTCGGGTTGGGGGGGGTATGGGTTCCATACGTGTTTTTTCGATGTTTCCCGACACCCCCCCCACTAGAAATCGAGGGTAAATCTGACCCTTCGGGTTGGGTTGGGGTGGTTTGGTGGGTGGTGAACGTTCTTTGAAACTCACACAATAACTGCGGTGTGAATTTGACAGAGCCTGAGCTCATTACGGCCTGCAGCCTAAGCTCTTCAGCTCTGCTCGGGGACGGTTGCCGGGGGGTGGCTGTGGCTGCGGGAACGGAAAGAGGGGGCCCTGCTCCGCCTGTGTTTCGTTGCGAGGAGCTTGAGGAGATCGTGAATACGTACAAGGAGAAGCTGAAGTAGGGCGACGAAATCTATACATATCCACTGCTCCCTGGCCAGGCCCATCCTCAACCCCGCAGCGGTGTATACGCCACGCCCTCCTGGCTTGGCCAGGAGGGCGCATACACAGCTCCTGGGTTCAAGATGGGCATGGTCAGGGAGCAGTGGATATGTATAGATTTCGTCGCCCGATGAAGACAAGCCTCACGCCGAAGAAGGGCAAGGGCAAGGGCAAGGGGAAGAACAATGCAGGTCGGGCCCGAAGCCCGGAATAGGGACAGCACCGATGGAGTCAAGCTTCACCCCGTCCACGCGATGGGAAATTGCACGTGTTCTGCAAGAATGCGCGGCTCAATGGCCCGCACAAGCTTGCAGAATTGACACTTGAATTAGCGACCGTGGATTGGGACATGATCCTATTCAGTGAGACTCGTGCGGAAAGCCAGACTGTCGAAATGGAGAGCGGACATCGCTTATACCTACATCGTGGAGAGTATGTTGCATCAGGCGTTGGAGTGTTGATACATGCGCGTTTGGTGGACAGCACTCGTTCGACGCATTTTGTTTCAGATCGAGTGCTTCGTGTTGACCTAGAACTCGCCCAACGGAAGATATCATGTTGTGCTGTCTATTTACCTCACGCGGGATTTCCAGAAACAGTTCTGGAACAAGTTTACGAGCAAGTTCACCGGAGCTTGACACATGCCGCTGATAATGGATACTCTATCGTAGTAGGGGGCGATTTCAACACACAATGGGGGGTTGGAGAGCGTGGCCAGAAGATGGCTGAGATGGCGTCCGCATTCAACTTGTCGGCTGTCAATGGTGACGGGAACGGCCGAGATGAGCATAGTTGGACTTTCAGGAGCAGTTTGGGCCAGCTGAGAAGAATCGATTTCATGTTTGCGTCTACGTACATCCGCAAAGTGGCTTGGGATATGCCGCAAGATTTGGACATGGGGTCGGACCATCGCGCTGTGCACGTAGAGCTTGACGTCGGGAAGGGCAAGCGCCGACAAACCAAGAGGCGAAGACCATCGATGCGAGGTTGGAGTCCATTTGAAAACGATGGTGTTTTTCAGGAGGCTTTGGACGAGAAGCTCAACCAGCACGCGCCGTCGTCACTCTTCGAAGCGGAGACAATACTGTTCGACACAGCGGCGGCTCATGGGGAGGGAGCTTGCAGCAAGCGACGGCGATTCAATGATCAGCCATGGGACTCACCTTCCCTTCAACATCTTTGGCAACAGAGGCGCCAGGCATGTGATCCCCGCCAACGGAAGGAGCTTTCAAAGACCATTCGACGGCATATCCGCGGGGAGCTCCGGAAGAAGAAGAGCCAACGGTTCCAAGCTATTCTGGATGAGTTCATCGAGCTTGACAGGATCAACGACGCAAGGAGACTACCAGCACGCTCGTCTACAGCTGGATCCGGCGCGCAGGCTGGACCAGAGGATTTTGCCAGCTACTTGGAGGGGATCTTCAAAACTGATTGGTCATACACTTGTGGATCAGCTTCTACGTACCTGCAGTCCATAGTGGACAGCTGCTCTACCAAAATACCTCCTTTCACGATGTGGGAGCTTCGACGCGCGCTCAAATCGATGAAGCTTCGAAGGGGCTCGGACGAGTTCGGGGTCGTCGCGGAGATGTTCAAGAAGTCTTCTCACAAGTTTGGGAGGCCTGGAAATGGGCACCAACACCAACAGAGGGGGCTGCCTGCACGGGGGGAAGATGCTCCTAGATTTCGGTGTTGGTGGTAATATTTCGGTCACCTGGAAGCCAGAATATTACCACCATCACAGAGATCGGGATCTTCTTCCCTCGGTGGAGGCACACCGCCGAGATTGGTGTTGGTGTCAATCTCTAGGCCTCCGAAAGTTCATGGCTTCACTGGTCCACTTGTTCAATAAGATGTTGCGTGAGGGCGCCATTGATCCGACCTGGAGGGAGACATCGTTTGCGATGCTCCCAAAGGCAGACGATCTCAGCTTGCCGCAGCATTGGAGGCCATTCGCAATTTTGAGGATATCATGTAAATTGTTTGCACACTTGCTCTATCACCGCATTGGCGGGGTGTTGGACGCGCAACTATCCGCAGACCAAGTTGGATGCCGGACGAAACGATCTGTCGGCGACGCTGTTATTGCCTTCGAAACTGCATGTGACAAGTGTTTGGAAACTGAATGTGTCTCTTTGGTGTTTGAGTCTGGACTTGAGCAAGGCCTTCGATCGAGGAGGAGGAGGAGGATGAGGAGAAGGAGGAGGATGAGGAGGAGAAGAAGGAGGAGGAGGAGGAGGAGAAGGAGGAGGAGGTAGGAGGGGGAGAAGGGGGAGGAGTAGGAGGCGGGCAGCTCCGCGGGCGGCTGGCTCGGCCCGGCGCTCGGGCACCCCGGAGCCCCTCGGAACCAAGGCGTGGGCGACGAGTACATTGCCATGCTGTCCGTCATCTGTGCACACCAACGCCGGTCGAGGCCGCGGCTCTCGCTGCTTTAAGATCCCGAGAGGCGTCAAACAGGGAGACGTCCTGTGACGGGCTTGTTTTCCACCACCACCACCATAAGTTGGAGGGGGAGGGGGCCCTCCTCCTCCTCCTCCTCATCATCATCATCTTCGTCCTCGTCATCCTCCTCCTCGTCCTCCTCCTTCCCCCCTCCAACTCATGGTGGTGGTGGTGGGAAACAGGCCCATCATCCTGAGCCCGCTGCTCTTCAACGCGGGCGACATCATGATCTTCGTAACGTCACGCAGAGATCTCATCATCATGGCCACAGCGCTAAAGGAGGAGCTTGCGAAAATAGGTCTCAGCCTGAACGCCGGAAAGACCAAGGTGCTGACCACTTCGGACGACAACGACGTGGTCCCGCTTGACCTCGGAGAACAGCCCGTGGAAATCCTCACCGGCGACATGGCCCACAAGTATTTGGGGAGGAAATTATGCGGCAACCTGCGCGCAAGGAGTTCCCATGAGGTGGGCCACCGGATCCAGATCGCGTGGATGCGGTTTCATCAACATCGTGACATCTTGACCAATAGGCACCTGAACATATACTCACGGATGTGCTCATTGGACGCACTGCAGCGGCGAATGCTTCGAAAAATCGTTGGTTGGACCCGCCTTGTGGACGAGCCGTGGGAGGACACAATGCGAAGGATGCGATTGAAAGTCGATTCTGCCTTAATGAAATACCCGATGGAGGACTGGAGCGCCCAGTTGCTGCGCAGGCAGTTCAGATTAGCTTATCGAGTGGGCAGTATGATTGATAGCTGGCCTGCAAGATTATCTCGTTGGCATCCCCCTACACCTTTTCCTGGGGCTGGACGTGGACGTGGGCGACCCGCAGTGAGATGGGATGACTATTTGCGAAGATTTTCGAACGCTTATTTTGGAACAGACTGGCTAGAAGCGGCACTGACCAATGATTTTGCAACGCACGAAGACGACTTCGTGCACTTTTCAATCGAGCACCAACAGTGATGCTCGAAGTCTCACACAGTCGCGCCCGATCCTGGGCCGAGCTTTGACTCGATCGGACTGCTTGCTTGCTGGGACACAACGAATCCGCCATTCCCAGACGACTCAAGATGCACCCAAAACCGCCCAAGGTGCCCCCAAGATGGACCAAGAGCGCCCAAAGAGGCTTCCAATACGGCTCCAGAGGTCTCCAAAAGGTCCTTCAGCAAGGCCCGAAGAGGCCCAAAGCAGGTATTTTCTGTAAGTGTCGCTTCATGAGGCCCAAGACGGCCCCAGAGGACACCAAGATCGCCCAAGAGGCCTCCAAGACGGCCCCATGACGGCCCAAGAAGCTCTGTAGACGACCCGAAGAGGGTCCCAAGACGGTATGGCTCCCAAACGGCGCAGCGAGGCGCTCAAAACGGCTTCCGACGGCGTCGGTTCGGCCCAGGAACTCCCTCAAACAGCCAATCACGCTTCCGAGACACCCCTGAAAGGCTCAATGAGTCTCCCTACATGCCTCGTCCTACGACGACCCGAAGAGGGCCTCGAGCTGGCCCCATTGACCTCCAAGCGAACCCGAACACCATCGGGAGCGCTCCAGATCGGCGGCGCTGGCCGGAGGCGATGTGTACGCATACATATGCACATGTATACTTATAGCAATGAAAACGCGTGTGTGCGTACACACACGTTGATGTACATCCACATGCTTACGTATTTGAATATCTGTGCGTAAATACACACCATTTAAAAACACAGCTCAACATGCGGAGAGGTAGAGGGAGCGAGAGAGAATGAGAGAGAAGCAGAAGCAGGAATACCGAGAGAGGAACTGAATGAGAGAGAGACACAATCTGGAGACGTGTGACCCCGAGGATGCCGCGGAGCGTTGGGTATGGATGCGACACTGCCCCGCCCTCGTGGGAGCGGGAAAACGTCCACATCCAAGGCTCCGCGAAATCCTCAGGGGAGCACGTCCCCGAATCGAATGGCTATGACCACATCCGCAGCGCACGTGGTGTTCGGGCGTTGCTCAATGGGGGGGCAATCGACGAGGTGGGAAGAAAGATGCACCTTTCGGGATCCCTGCCAGGGCCCCAAAAGGTACCCCTCTATGGCCGCCTTATGGCAACCCCGATGCCCCCGAACACGAAGGAAAGGTGGCGGATTCGGCACCTGCTCCCGCATCTTGAATCTTGCGGCGGTTTCTTCGAGATATAGGCTGCTTGCAAAGACGCCTATCCCTCTAGCCAACCGTCCTTCTAAGAAGCCAGGGGCGCGCCGCTTCTTAGAAGCTCCATCGAACCATCTTAGAAGCAGGGAAACGACCTCTTTGGAGCAAGCCATGGGACGCATAAGGACATACTACTGCCCTCGTCAAAATGAACCTCAAATGGCGAACACGCCCCTGCGATGTTGGCGCGGCCTTCAATGTCGATACGACGCTCCTCCAATGTTGGGGACGGGGCAAAGGTGGTCTGACCAGGAACGACTCGGAAGTTCGATGATGACCGACATTGGAGGGGTGGCGCATACAAGTATCTCGCAGTCATCGCTACTATGTCCACTATCTCCCCACACACACAGTTCAGCCACGTAACACATGTTGGAGGTTAATTTTGACGAGGGTTGTAGTACGTTGTGCCCTCCTTGGAGGCGTGTGTCCGACCCGAACATGCAGTATACCCATATTGCAGCAGATGGTTTCCCGAACGGTTCTTGGAAGGAGGCGGGAAAGCTTCTTGGAAGGAGGCGGCTTCTTAGAAGGAGCCGGCCCTGCATCTACAGACGAGGCCCGCGCCTTCTCAAGCCGAAGGGCTTCTAAGAAACCATCACCCCTCCCCTCTACCCCCCCAGGATGGACAATAATCGGATCGATGAGTCCGATCGGCGGTCGGGATGAATCGGATCGGCTGGACTCGGCGGCCGAGTCGGGAGAGGTCGGCTCGGCAGACATCGGCAGGACAGTGAGCCTCCCTTCGCGAGTCGGAGATCCGAATCGGAACCCGAGGTCGGATCGAACCGGCATCGGGGGAATCGGGGGAATCGGGGGAATCGGGCCGAGCCGCAATGGCAATCGAAATCGAAGTCGAAGCGAACATCAGAGGAATGGAACCGAACCAAATCGCAATCGAGCGCGAAGCGAAGTCGAAGCGGGAATCGGAGGATTCGAGACGAGCCCTGCGTTCCCCCGCTGGACGGTTTCCCCCGGGGCCGTAGGCGACCCGAGGAGGGGAGGGAGGGCGACGAGGGGGATGAGGGAGGAAGAGGAGGAGAAGGAGGAGAAGGGGGTGGAGGTGGAGGAAGAGCAGGAGGAGGGCCCCAAGAGGAGGAGGATGAGGAGGAGGAGGAGGAGATCGGCAGGAGATCGGCATGAGGAGTACGCAATCGTACGGTATGGCTTGCTAGCTGCTGTGTGCAAACTCACGCATGCACGTGCGCACTAGCTCTAGCAAGGGCACGTTTGGCACCCACCCAATGCAGGGCCTCCTGTTCCTTCTTTGGCATGCCCTTGGGGTGGGGCCACATGCCCCGTGCAGATCGTTTAAGAGTCTGCTCTCCCTTATCCGTCTTATGGCCACACTCTTGGGCCAGAGTTCTTACCATGAGACCACTACAGCCCACGCAGGAAGAACAGAAGTAGAGGTCGAACTGGTCTACATACTGGAGGGTGTGCGACGCGTGCAGTGTCTTCCCTCCCACACTGAGACCCGACGACGACGACCCTCTCGCCCTCGTACATGCACGACCACCGCGCCAGTCTGTGCAAACTGTTTGGGCCTACGCTCTGACCTGGCGAACCAATTCAGGTCCGCGTAAAACGCTGAACGCGCGGGGGGGTGAGGAGGAGGAGGAGGAAGAGGAGGAGGAGGAGGAGGAAGAGGAGGAGAAGGAGGAGGAGGAAGTGGAGGAGGAGGAGGGGGCGGAGGAGGCGGAGGAGGAGGAGTTGTTTCATCAACGATGTTCCTGCCAACTCACGCTGACAGAGAAAAAGGCTCGACTTTGACCTGGGTAAACTTGGGGTGCCTTCCTTGGAGGACGCCGGACCAGGTCGAAATCGCGAAATTGATGGTAGGCCTGTCCAAACACTTATTACGAAGGTTACTGAACTGACCGCCAGTCGCATATGCCTTGCACTTCTCACAGGCATATAACAGAACGCCGTGCCTGCAATCAACAATTTTCAATTGGTGCTGCATTCGCCCGATATCGAAGGAAGCCTCGGGGAAGACACCATACCATCCAGCACTCGGAGTCTTGTGATCCGATGGACGGAATTTCAGACACCTCTGGCATCTCCAAATGCAGCGGCACCATGACCATTCACGCAACTGCGCAGGCACATCTGCTGGCCGGCGGCCCTCGCCTGGGACTGTCGGCGCCCCGTTGAGGCCCAGGCGGGGCAAAAGAGGGAGAAAGTGAGCCGCCATGGCGCACACCTTGCGAGCGATGAGCACACGGCGGTCGATCTCGACCAATTCAGCTGCAGAGGGCATCTGGTGGGACCAAGCACCGCGCTTTGCCGCGGCATCGGCAGCGTCGCTCCCAGTGTTATAAAAGAATTGCTCTGGCGAGAGGTCGCCTGTGTCAGACAAGTGCGCTTTCACTTTAATTACATCTCGATACCTAGACTGTGACATGAATAACAGAGCATTCGCATAAAACCTCTTATATGATACATGATGGGGTACAGGAACCTTAACAGCCTGGACCACACTGCCGCAGTCCGAGTATCCCGCCGGGTCCGCTCATGAGCGCACTGGCGGCGCCGAGGCCGCATAATTACCAGCTTGGAAGCTTTGAGGGAGGAAGCGAGGAAAGGGTCCAAAGAGGGTGCACTTGAGTTCTCTGGCGTCGTTATATACAGAAGCCCCCCAGCCAGCTCGAGACATCTCCACAATCGGGCTCTTCAGCCTGGGAGCGTCGAGGAAAACGCGGCCTTCGCTCTCCGTAGAAACGTTGTCGGGATCACCCTCCCAAGCCACCCTCTTCCACGGGCACGGGGGCGGTGTCACCTGGGCGCGGGTGGGAATATGGCCCTGGTGAACAACAACGAATCGGGATCATCTGGGCCCCCACCCCACGGGGCCTCAGTGCTTTCAGCGCGATGTCATAGCACGCCCGACCTCCGAGCCCCAAAACAGTTCCCAAACTGCCGCTGCAGAGGCCGAAGGACCCCTTCCCGAAGAAACTGGCTGAACATCCTGGGCGATGCGGAGGTCACAGAAGCCCCACCTCCTGACCCGTGACAATGTTGGCGGAACCGCCCATGCTCCAACCCGTGCGCTCCAGCGAGGCCCGGGTCGCTGACAGGGGGCCCGTGACCTTCTTCCGCGGGGGCGGCTCGCCTGAAAGGGTCGCCTCCCAAGCAGCCCTGAGCTCCGAGAACCCCAAAGTATGGAAACTGCCGGGTGGCAGTCAGCCGCGCCTCCCATGCGTACCTGAGGACTGGGGCAATAAGCGTAGTAGCTCGGGTCGTGCTCCAACATGTTCAACGCAACGAGGCTACGGAAACCTGCTGGCGGCTTCTCCGTCTTGCCGAAACACATGAATAGTGACTACTCGTAGTCGGAGGTGCCCTGAACCTCCGCGCCAGAGGTTGCTCCTGCAAGGGGCCCTCCAATCGCCATCTTGCAAAACAAGTTTCCCCGGGCGCTCTTGCACTTCTGAAGACGTCGAACCTGGCCCGACGCGCGCGGCAACGTTCCTGCTGTCTTGAACCTTTACGTCCTCGTGCCCTTCCTCAGCGAGCGACCTGCCGCGTCGTCCACACCTGGGTTGGTAGCCCTGCGCGCCGAGGGGCATCCGCCATTTGTCTGCCGTTTGTTCGCCAATTTTTGCCCGCGGAACACAAGGTCGCAATGGCCGAGGCCATCTCTTCGGCCACCGACGCGCGCAAGTCTGTAATGATGACCACCATGAGATTCGAAGCACCTTCTTTCAGATCGACAGAGACCGGGGGCTCAGACCCAGTAGACGAAACACCGTAATCATCTATATAAATGTCCAGAAACAGTGGCCTAGGGAGCTCGTGGGGGTCAACCACTGGGATGACATGAATCCGCGCGAACGCAATGGCAATCGAGCAACCTGCCACCACGCCACTGATAGCATAGAAAGGGCCAACGGAAACATTAGACATCGCGAAGAACCGTGCTCCACGGCAGGCGCAAGGGCACGCGCGGAGAATCTGCACCGGGCAGCCTAATGTACGGGCTCGCTGTTCTCCGAGGGGCAACTGCATGCTCTCGTAGAGCTCCCGGAGGCCCCGCAGCAACGCAGCAGCCGCCTGGCCGCGCTTGGCCCCAGACTCGCTCCGCACCGACTGCCTCCAGAACATATCTGAAGCCCCGTTGCACGTTGGCCGCCAGGTAGCTCGTAGCATCTTCCAACTCCCAGGCGGACGCCACTCTCCGACGCACTCTACCCCGGAGACGGTAAGACGAGCGAAAATGGACGATTGGCTGAAAGCCCCCCTACGGCGTGGAAAGGGGGGGGCCATCTGGAACACTTGCATGATGCGGCAGGAGCCCTGTGGCGCTGTCAGGCAATCGCCCGACATGCTGGCGAAGTGGCGCATGTGGAAGCCGTTGACAGACATGCAAGCGCGCGTCGAATAGCTGCAAAATACCTGCTGGATCAGAACCGGGGCAAGGGCCTCCAAAGGATCATGGGCGCCCAGGGGGTCGGGGTTCCAATCTGGCAGCCGATCGGCCAACCACAAATCTGAGAAGCAGGCGGCCTCCGTCTCCAACAGGGCCAGGGGGTCTGACACGATGTGACCGTGTCGCGAAGGCGCGGTCGTAGTCGCCCAAGCCTTGCACTCCCTAGTCCACCTGTGCACGCGCCTGCCTTCTTTGGTAATGCCGTATAGCAGCCAGGCCTGCCCATCTTGTCAACCCGGAGCCTGGCCCTAGCAGCGTAAATCCGAGGAGAGTCGTCAAGTTCGCCCAAATAGTCGAGCCCTACATGGAGGCCCCAAGATCCATGGCTGAGACCGCCCCCCCCCCAAAAAAAAGCCAACCTGAAGGCGCTGATCGTGACGTCCATCGAGATGCTCAGAGATGTCCGGAGGGGGGGCCAAGATGCAGCGGCCCTGTTGCCCAAGAGCGCCAGAGGTCCCCAGGTCAGCCAGACATGTTCTAAACGTTCTCGCCAACCACCTACAAGGGAACAGGAGGGGTTCAAGCGCCGAGTTCTGGTTCGTGTCCATGTCTGCCTCAGAGACCCACATGGGCCCGGGCGGCTTGCCCCAAGCGCCATGCCGGCAGAGGGCGATGCGACGGCTCGCGACCCACCCATGATCAAGAGTGTTCAAGTGCTAATGAACCAATCCCCTCTTCGGCATGTCCCGCAGCATCTCCAAGCCTCTGCGCGCGCAATCAAACACGTGATATGCCGACCTGGATTGGCAAGCGGGCTCCACGGGCTGCTCAACGGGGATTCCAAGCGGCCCCGTGACGCTGAGCGCCTGCAAAGACGCCGCGTTCCCGAACAACTGCGCTCGAACGGGGGCGCGGGTCTGAATGTCACAGGCGGTCTGAAACCCTGCAAATTCCACGCGCTGGCCCAAACCTGCCGAGAATATTAGAATCAATATTGCTGGACTTTCCGCTCGCCGGACTGGCATCGGCCTCGGGGGCCATGACGTTGCAAGCGATGCGCTCGAACAAAACAAATGCCACGCTGCATCCCGCTCGGAACCGCGTCGGAGTCCGCGCCGATCAGCCAAGAGCCGCATCGCCCATGGACAGCGCCCCCCAGGGGCACCAGGATGGAACGGTTTATATTGATATAGTTCCTCGCACTCACCGACGCAGGCGCCAACCGTCAAACTTGGATGCCCGCCCGGGACCTCCGCGACGCCAGCAATCGCTCGATCCGGAATACAAGAGCAAACCCCGCATCGGAACTTCTGAAACGGATGATGTTGCGCGCCAGGCGCCAGAATAGCCGCGCCTCCCGACGGGCCCCCGCCAGGTCAAGCTTCAGCCTTCAGGAAGACGCCTTGCCAGCCGCGGTTGAAGCTCCACTCGGGCGCTTCGATGCAAAGATCCCGAGAGTCAAGACGATGCTCCTGGACCAAGACAACCTGAGCCTCCGCGCGAGCATGCCGGGCTTGAATCGAATTCTGCGCTGTCACGCTGACCGTTTCCACGATGAGCGCGTCCTGGCTGGCTGGCTGGGGTGCCGAAAGAACTACCAGAAGTAGCTGGTGGCTGGGTGCACGGGCGCTTCGCTGCGCCACCGCGGGGGCAGCCCTTCTCCGAGCGAGAGCGCCCGGTCGCTAAGCCCGGAGCTGCGCTGCGACCAGCACTGCTTGAAGGCGCGCGCAAACAAAAAAAACGAACGCCCGGGGCGCGCCGCGATGGGGGGGGGCAGGGCGCAGAAGAGGCGAAAGGGCAAGGAAAGATACATAATGTGGAGCGACGCACTTCGCGCTGCTGGCCGCTAAAGAAACGCGGGCATTCGCTGAGAGAGCGCAGGCACCGACCCCCGCAGAGAAGGAAGAGGCGGAGGTGGAGGAGACAACCCCGCCCGACAACGACGGCGGGGAAGCGGGATTCCCCCCCTGGGGTTTGGCTCCGAGGCCGCCAAGAGGAAATGCTCTGCTCAAGCGCCTGAAATCCCGACGAAGTTACATGCAACCGGTGCACCCGCGGAAGGTCCGCCTTCAAAGTTGAAAGAACATCAAAAAGAACTCGGCTGCGCTGAAGCTGCCATTCGCCGATGCCATAGGCGCCCCTCCCGCCGCGCCCCCGGCGGGGGGGGGGGATGACAGCTTCGCAGCACGAGCTCGCACATCGCCTGGACCGAGCTGGGCAAAGGCAGACCGGGCAGCATCCAGCTCGCCGCAAGCTTGTCAGCAGGCTGCCATGCATCAGTAGACCTCGCTCCCCCGTCGCGAGCCGCGCTTGCTGCTGCTGCTGCTGCTGCGTCTGGCGCCCTTGGCTCCGTCCGCCGCTCCTTGGCTTGGGAGCGGCGCGTGTGATCAGCATGCTGCGCCTTAGCCTCCTGCGCCTGCTTGACCAGCGGGCCCAGTAAGTCCTTCGCCATGGTCTGGGTGACGGCTCCCAGCTGCTGCTTCCTCGTCGATCTCCATGAGGCCAGCCTCCTCGATCTCCTGGTCGAGCGAGGCGTCGGCGACGAGCTCGTCCAGGTCGGTGAGCTTGCTGGGATCGGCCGAACCATCCACCAAGGCAGACAGCTTGACAGAGCACGCGGGTGGAGCCTGAGCAGGAGCGTTTGCAGGTCCCCGACGACGTGAAGCCTGGAGCTCCTCGACCTCTGCGGCCTTGCGCTCCGAATTGAGACTGCCGATGCCCGCAATCTGCGCCGACACCTCGGCCTGCCACTGTTCCAGCTTATCCATCTCCGTCTCGATATTCCGCTCCAGGCGGGTGACCGCAGCGCTGCTCTGCTGGATCCGCTGGCTGATGGGCGCGACGGCCAGCGCCGTTGACTCCGTGGCGGCCGCCTTTGCCTCCATCAGGTTTTGCGCCTCCCGAAGCCCGTGGACACGAAGAGCGAGCCCAGCGCACGGAGGAGCAGCGATGACACCAGGGGGCCGCCACCAGCCCAAACCCCATGCGTTCCGCGGGGGGGGGCGAGAGGGAAATCTTCGAGAGCTGGGAGACGCAATGCTTGCAGAACCTGGCCGGCGCCTCGTTCTTGGCGCAGCCGCAAGCGGTGCACTTGTGACCGAAGGTTGGTGGCCCGAGCAAACCCGACTGCCTCTTTGGGTTGCGGCCGCCTCCTTTACCGTGTTCGCCATCGCCTCGCCAGGGCCGACGCGAACGGTCGCCATGGTTAGGGGGTGGCGCCATGGAGGAATCGTAGTGCTCCTGCAGGAGCTCACAGAAAACACAACGCCGAACCAAGGAGGCCCGTTGGCGCAACGCCGCCCTGAAGTTCGCGCCAACAGTCGCAGGAGACCCGCGGGAGACCTGCGCCAGAACGGCCGGAGCCAAAATGGCCACGGAGAGGAGGAGGAGGGGAGGAGGAAAGGGAGGAGGAGGAGAAGGAGGGGGAGGGGGAGGAGGAGGAGGACGAGGAGGAGGAGGAGGAGGAGGAGGGGAAGAGAAAGAGAGAAGAGGAGGAGGAGGAGGAGGAGGAGGAGGAGGAGGAGGAGGAGAAGGAAGGAATCGTTGTACTCCTCCAGGAACTCACAGAAAACACAACGCCGAGCCAAGGATGCCCGTTGGCGCAGCGCCACCCTGAAAATGGCGCCAGCAGTCGCCGGAGACCCGCCGGAGACCTGCGCCAGAACGGCCGGAGCCAAAATGGCCACGGAGAGGAGGAGGAGGAGGAGGAGGAGGGAGGAGGAGGAGGAGAAGAGGAGGACAAGAAGGAGGAGGAGGAGGAGGAGGGCGGAGGAGGAAGAGGAGGAGGAGGAGGAGGAGGGGGGAGGAGGGAGGGAGGAGGAGGAGGAGGAGGAGGAGGGAGAGAGAGGGGAGGAGGAGGAGGAGGAGGAGGAGGGAGGAGGAGGAGGAGGAGGAGGAGGAGGAGGAGGAGGAGGTGGAGGAGGGGGAGGAGGAGGAGGAGGGGAAGAAAAGAGAGGAGGAGGAGGAGGAGGAGGAGGGAGGAGGAGGAGGAGGAGGAGGAGGAGGAGGAGGAGGAGATGGGGGGGGAATCGCGCCCTCTCGGAGGGGGGAGGCCTGCCCCGTTGATCCACCAAAGGGGGTGCCCTCAGGGGGGGCATGAGCCATGTTGCTCCCATCGCACGTGAGGACCACATCTCGGGTCGGGCGAAAGGGGGGGATAGCAAAGGGGGGGTTGAGAATCAGCTCACGTAGCTGATTTTCCCGGCGCCTCCCGGCGCCGGAGGCGGCCATGTATCGAGGAATGGGCCCCTCGGTGAGGCCGAAATCAGCTGCATGCAGCAAATTTCGTAACCCCCCCTTTCCCAATCCCCCCCTTTCGCCCGACCCGAACATCCCAGACAAAACTTCGGGCACCCGGGCCAGAACCGAAACGGTGTCGAACGAGTGTCCCTTCCCAGGAGGGCGTCTCCCGGGATCCACCACGAGGGGCAAGAGGGCCGAGCATCGAATCGAGAGGTCGGATCGGCGATCGAAAGGAATCGGATCGGCTGAAATGGGCAGCCGAGTCGGGAGAAGTCAAATCCGCAAAAATCGGCAGGCTGGTAGGTCTCCATTGAGAAATCGAAGTCAAAATCGGAATCCGAAAGCGAATCGAATCGGAATCGGAACCCATCGAAATCGAATCGGGTCGAATCGGAAACATCGAAATGAGGCCTCGAGGGGGCGGCCCTGAGGGGGGGCATGAATTCGATCCACTGGTGCACCGCACTGCCGCAAACAGATGCACACCGCATGCCCCACCTATATCGGCAATTATCGGGAGCTGTCAGCAGCTGGGGGGCATCTGTTTTGGGCGGTCCGGTGCAAAAAACTATAGAACACACACACACACACATACTGGGCCCCCCCCCCTTTGCGGGATCCCGAGTCTAAAGAAGCCCTACCCCCTCCAAACGAAGGCAGAATCGAGACAAAATCGGACCGATGCAAATGGATTTAGAATATGTGAGCATCCCAAGGATCCGATGAAGACGAAGCCAGGACGAAGACAGCATCGTGCCAGGATAAAACGGGAATCTCTGAGATCGGGCGGTTCTGTTGGATGTCTCCGGCGCCGCGGCCGTTTCAAAGAATTCCGGAACGCTCTGAGAGCGCTCCGGAACGCTCTGGAACGGGCTTATCTCGATGCTAAGCCCGCCCGACCCTCTCCCCACCCACCCGCGCGTGGAGCCGATGCCATATGTTCCATTGCCATGTGTTCCATTGCCGATGCCATATTTTCCATTTTGGAGCCTCCGCCCAACCCAGGGAGCTGATGCCATATTTTTCCCTGGCGGGGGCCCTGGCACTCCGGGCCCACTCCCGGGCCCGGGGACCGGACTTTCCTCCCGCGCCGTCGCGTGCCCGTCCCAGGCCCCTGCAGCGGGGTCCGCAGGCCCAAAATGGAGAAAACCCTCCATCTTTTTGGTCAATGCGTTGGATCTCTGGGAACCGTCGCCCCCCAATGCGAGGGAGTTCTGGGCCCACTCCCGGGGACCGGATTTTCATCCCGCGTGCCCGTCCTGGGTCCCTGCGGGGCTCCGCATGCCCAAGATCCAGAAAACCCTCGGCCTTTCTTTTTCAATGCGCTATAGCTCCCCGGGGGGCCCGTGCTCCGCAGGAGTACACCGAAGCGACGCCGACCCTAGAAATGTATCCTGACTGCCACGGCGTTGGATCTCCTGTCGGAGGCGGCCAAGAGGGGGGCGGCTAAGAGGGGGGGAGCGCAGATCATGGCCGGCGGCCTCGGCCCAGGGGGGGCCAGGGACGTCTTAAAATAAGAAGAGGCGCCATGAAATCCGGGGGATCATCATGGCCCCGCCATGATATGCCCCCCCCCCAGCACGAGGCGACCGGGATGCTCCCCCCCCCCCCGTGCCGCACAGGCGCCGCACAATGGCCAGAGAGCAGCATACGGCCAAGTCGGGCGTGTCCCCCTACAGGGGGATGTTCGACTAACACATGCTCCAAACATGCTCCATGATGGCCAACCAATGCCCCGACAGATCCCAAGACGATGGTTTGACGATTGCTTTAACACGTTTGACAATGTTTGACGATTTGTTGTGACTATCTTTAAATATTCCCCCTGTAGAGGGACAGGCCCGACTTGGGCACGAGGGGGAGGGAGGGAGGGAGGGGGGAGGGAGGGGCGGGCGAGGGCACGAGGCCTTGCGCGCCGATGGGGCGCGCCCGATCCCCGCGTGCGCCGCGTGAGGGGCGGCCTATAAAGCGATCTGCGGCGGCGGGGGCCGGCGCGCGCGGCGGGGCGGACGGAGCAGGGGCCGAGCGCCCTGGTGCCCACCAGGGGACCGTCGAGAGGCCTCCTCCTCCTCCTCCTCCCTCTCCTCCTGCTCCTCCTCCTCCTCCTCCCCCTCCTCCTCCTCCTCCTCCTCCCCTCCTCCTCCTCCTCCTCCTCCTCTCCTCCTCCTCCTCTCCTCCTCCTCCTCCTCCTCCTCCTCCTCCTCCTCCTCCTCCTCCTCTCTCCTCCCTCCTCCTCCTCCCCCTCCCCCTCCACTCCTCCTCCTCCTCCTCCCTCCCTCCTCCTCCTCTCCTCCTCCTCCTCCTCCTGTTCCTCCTCCTCCTCTCCTCCTCCTCCTCCTCCTCCTCCTCCTCCTCCTCCTCCTCCTCCTCCCCTCCCCCTCCTCCTCCTCATCCCCCCCCTCCTCCTTCCCCTCCTCCTCTTCCCCCTCCTCCTTCTCGCTCGCATGTATGTATATCTACATATGTACATACACCTCCGATTAACTCGACGAACAGATCGATGGCTCTAGTTGGACATGTAATACGTGTGCACGCAGACAAGTGTACACATACATACATACGTGCATATATACATACGTACGTACGTACTCACGTACGCACATACAGCCGTACATATACATACATACCTCTGCGCACATGTGGGCCGGCACGGTATGCGAAACGGCTCGACAAAGATTGCACCTGCCGCTGCGCGGGCCGGCCCGCGGCGGGGTGGGCGGAGCGGGCACCGACCGGCCCCCCCGGCGGGCGAGCACACACTGACCACACGGGGGCGCGGAGCCCGAACGGGAGCCTCGTGGCCGAGGGCCCCCGGGGCCCCACGGATAGAGGAAAAAGAAATATGCACATACACCGATTCTGGCCAGGCCCATCCTGAGCCCAGGATCGGTGCATACGCCCTCCTACCTTGGCCAGGAAGGCATATGCACCGATCCTGGGTCAAGGATGGGCCTTGCCAGGATCGGTGCATGTGCATATTTCTCTTCGCCCGAACGGAGGCATGCCCAAAACGAGCCAAGCGTTCCATGGAGGATGGGGCCCAGCCCGGACCCCCTCAAAGTCATGAGAGGAACATGGCGCGAGGAACCTTTTCCATTGTCGGCACCCGGGGGCCCTCGCCGGGCCTCGGGACCGTCAAACCACGACTCAGGATGAGAAACCGGTCCTGGGGAGTGGGTCGAGACCTCTGGGGGTCGACTTTATGAAAATATGACGTCGGGGGTCTGGGAATGGCGAAGCACAGAAGGGTACCTCTAAAGGTACAGTAGGGGCTCGACCACAAGAAACCTTCCGCAAGAAGCCCCACCCTGAGACCACAGGAAGTCTATCATTTCTGCTGTGGTGACGTCGCGCTTTCCGGACCAAAACCATCGATCCACAAGAAACCCAGGGCACCCTGGAGGCAAGCAGGGTGTTTCTTGGCATTGGCTTCCTCTGTATGACTGTTCTTAGCCCTCGGTATCGATGAAAACGAAGACACCCGGGGTACCCTGACGAAATGCACCTGGTTCCCCAGTGCGCGTCCCCATGGTACTGCTGCGTAGTGCCACACCGCTGCTCGAGCGAAAGCGCTGTCTGCGCTCCGGGGCGTCCCTGCCTTACGACGCTCAGAGATATGCAGCAGCACGGTCAGGCTGGCTTGCGGCCTCATCTCCGTCCAGGGCAGAAGCCCTGCGCCGTGAATCAAGTCATGCATGGTCGCGTTGAAGCCCACGACCGCCGCGTGGCACCACTATGAGATGGCCGTTGGGCGCTTCGTGTCGAGGAGGGCCTTCGTGGCCTCTGCCGGACTATGGTATATGATCATTGAAAGAACGTGCGCTGTGTTCACAGGCGTGCTCGAATCCATTCTGCAAGTCGTCTACGGAGCCTGTGGTGCAGATATGGCCCTGGATTTTGATGACGAGCGCTCTTCAAAGTACCACTTCAACCTGTTGCGGTTTCGAAGGATCGAGGTGGAGGATCGACGATCGAGGATCGCGGAGGAGGACAGAGGATCGAGGAACGAGGATCGAGGAGGAACATCGAGGATCGAGGAACAAGGATCCAGCAGGTGGATCGAGGATCGAGGATCGAGCCCGTGCCCATGTGGCCGATCCTGGAAACCCTGAACCCCCTAATCTTGCCATCTCTTAAGAGGTCGACTCTTGCTTCCGTCGGCTTCCGCCCGACATTCCGTCCTCGGGCCCAGGGAGGCCTGGGGAAACACAGGATTCGAGCCAAAGGAGAAGGGCAGCACATGCGTAAAACAACTAGTGCCGAGCCACAAGAAAGGGGGGCAATGAATAGGCACATTCGTAAAACACATAGGGTTCGAGCCACAGGAGAGGGGTAATTGATAGGCACGTACATAAAACACATAGGGTTCGAGCCGCAGGAGAGGGGCAACCTATAGGCACATACGTAGAACTCGCAGGATTCGAAGTAATGCATGGGAACATACGTGAAACACACGGGGTTCGAGCCACAAAAAGGCAATCGATAGGCACATACTTACATAAACACACAGGACTCGAGCCACACCTACGCACAACACATGGGAGTCGAGCCCCAAGACAGAGACAATATATAGGCACATACGTGAAACACATAGGATCCGAACTCCAGGAAGGGGGCACCACCTATATATATATATATGTGTATATATATACACACATATATATATATACGGCTGAGGGCCCACGGTCCACCCCACCCCAGATGTGCTGGGTCACAGGGCTCCATGCCCCCCCCCGATGGGATGGGTGGGGGACGCCGACGACGACGACGATGACGACGACGACGACGGCGACGACCGCAACGACGACGACGGCGACGGCGACGACAACGGCGACGACGGCGGCGACGGCGACGACGACGGCGACGAAGACGACGACGGCGACGACGACGACGGAGACGACGGCGACGACGACGACGACGACAACGGCGACGACGACGACGACGGCAACGACGACGACGACGACGACGATGACGGCGGCGGCGGCGGCGCCGACCTCCTGAGCCCTCCGACGACGACGACGGCGACGGCGGCGGCGGCGACGACGTCCTCCACAGCTCTCCTGGGGCACCACAGTATCACGCCACACACACCACACCCACAGTTCCACACCACACCCACAGGGGGACCATCACGCGAAGGGGGGGCCCCGATGGCATCAGCATGTGGGCGGGGGCCAGAGCCTGAGCCATGTATAGGCACATACAGAAAACAAGGAGTTGAGTCACAGGAAAAGATGGGCAATATATAAGCACATGCGTAAAGCAACTGGGATTCGATTCGCAAGAAAGGGGCAATCTACAGGCACATGCGTAACACACGTAGGGTTCGAGCCGAAGGAAAAGGGGCAATCTATACGCACATACGTAAACCACATCGGACTCGAGCCGCAAGAGAAGGGCAATGTGTAGGCACATGCGTAAAATCTCGTAGGATGCGAGCCACAGGAAAGGAACAGTCTATAGGCACAGACGTCAATCACATGGATTCCAACCAATCGATGGGAACATGAGTGAAGCACGTAGGGTTCGAGCCGCAGGAAAAGGGTAAAATGTAGGAACAGATGTGAAAACATAATGTTCAAGCCCCCAAAGGAGGGCAATCGATAGTCACATACGGAAAACACATCGGCTTCGAACCACCGGAGAGTGGCAATCTGTAGGCACATCCACCAAACACACAGGATTCGAGCCCGAGGTAAGGAGCAATGCATAGGAAAGTGCGCGAAAGACATCTGATTCGAGCCACAGGAGAGGGGGGCATCTATAGGAACATGGGTAAACAACATGGGTATCAAGCCCCAGGAAAAAGAGGTAGTCTGTAGGAGCAGAAGTGAAACGCATGGGGCTGAAATCTTGCAGAAAGCTTCATTTCTGGACCAAACCCAGCCAGAACGCGAGAGCGAGCATCATTTCCAAATCTGCCAAGGATGACGTCGAGCCAAAACACCATAGCGAGTCGACTCCGGACAGCCGCTGGACCAGCGAGCTGCATTCCCCTGGCCTGTCCTGTGGACTTCCTGGCGACAGGAACCCGAGCCAGAACGCAATCGTGAGTCTCACTTCTGCCCCAGATCAGCCAGAATGTATAGTCGAGAATCCCATGTCTGAATACTTAACAGACCACCCCAACCAAACCCAAAGACCCGAATTCCGGGTTGGGAAGGGGGGGCGCGGGTTCCACACGTGTTGTTTCAACTTTCCCTGACCACCCCCCAACTGGAGATGGAGAGCAAATCGGGTCCTTCGGGTGGGGTTGGGGTGGTTCGGTGGGCGGTGAATGTCTGGATCTGGGATGGCTGAGGTCGCGCCAGAACATAATAGTGAGCCTCATGTCTGGACCTCCAATCGAGTCAGAAAGCCATGGCGGGCCGGTGAGACGCCCCCGCCAGGCCCCCCCCAGTGTGGAGCTTCTGGCGGGAGGACCTCTTTGCACAACCTTCGAGCCCTCTGGCGAGGCGCTTCTGGGGGGCCCAGCGGGCCACGAGCATCTCCATACCTCGATCCTCGGCCCCCGAAAACCCAGGCTGCCCCCCAGAGGGCCCGCCCTCCTCGTTGACGCCCCGCCCCCGGGGCCAGGGGCGGCCTCTGCTCGCGCCGCGCGGGGCGCCTCTTTTCTAGGCCGCCCCCTGCCAAGAACCAAAAGCGGGTTGAAACCCGGCCTGGTGGCTACAGCTCAGAATTTGTAGCGGGCGGCGTGCCCTTCCGGTGCGAGAGGCACGCCATTCATTAGATCATTCGGCATAGGAACGCAGACGAATACCGACGCTGTCAGGCGAAGGATGCGAGTGCAACGGATGGCGCAGAGCGACCACGGCCGTGCTGGTCCACAGACACCGCCTGAAGCTCCGTACGCATCGCACATGCTGCTGGGGGAGTCATGTCGTCTTTGTGGTCGTCTTCCCCCAGCAGGCCACCGACGGCAAACCCTGCCCGCCCCAAATGCTTCACGTACACATTCAAATACGAGAGACCACCGCCCGTACGTCCATGAACTACTTTCACCTCAACCCTTCCAAAAGCAACCCAGTGCATATCCATCGCCAGACTTTGCGATACGCTGTAATGATACCCTCCAACTTGTCTTGCCTCTGCCCAAGAACCTGTAATGTTCACTTGCTGAAAGTACATATCCGCGCAATGTCCACTCAACCAGCGCGCATCGGCCTGCACACGAAGGAATGCAACTTCAGCGCTCGTTCCACGAGGGATGTTTATCAGAACGTGGTTGCCCGGCTTAGTCAAATCGAACCGCTCGCCATGAACGTTTCGAAGGTGGGGATCGCCAGTGGCAGCCGCGGATCCGCCGGCACCGCCCGCCGTCGTCGGGCTTGGCGTCGGGCTGGGCGTCGGGAAAGGCGTTGGGAAGGCCGTCGGGTAGGGCGTCGGGGACGGCGTCGGGTAGGGCGTCGGGTAGGGCGTCGGGTAGGGCGTCGGGCTGGGAGTCGGGTAAGGCGTTGGGGACGGCGTCGAGGCTGAGTACTGAACAACCACATCCTGGATCCAAATATGCGCCCAGCCTTGATTCTTCTTGCCGTCGCGCGTCTCGATGTAGTAGCAGCCGCCGTCAATGTCACTCCACGTCGTGCCGACGTTGGCGTGCGTGTTGCCCGCTTGCTGGTATTGCCTCGTGACGACACCTGCGTCAGAGACCAAAACGATTCCCAGGTATGCATTGTTAGAAGGGTCAGTGGTTGCCGACACACCCCCGTTCGCTTCGAATGACACGCTTGTCACGCCGCACCAGGTTGGGGATCTGAAGACGTGGTTCAGGTGGTCGCCATCTCGGGAATCGCCCGGCGGACCGACGCCATCCACAGCGGACCAATACGTGTAGGTGGGTCCACCCGAGCAAGCCGCTGCTACTGCTCCATACATATGTGTCTGTATCACCTGTCGAGAGGTTGGAAACTGCTGCCATCTGCAAAAGACTTGACTCGACGCCGTCCATGTCCTTGCTTGTCATGGTGATCTCGCATGACTCGCGTCCCGTGCAGCCTTCGCTCACCGTCAAGAGTGCGAAAGGAACCACGAACCTCGTGCGCAT